GGCCGTCTTGGGAGTATCTTGGGCCGTCCTGGGCGATTCTGGGGCCGTCTTGGGGGGGGGGGGGGGCGTGTTACCGGGAGTTCCCCACCTTACGCCCCTCCCCTGGATCCCTCCCTAGAGAGCTTCGCCCCACCAGAACGTCATCACTTCACTCGTACCTCGCTCTTTCTGTCACTTGGGCCGGCACGAGAACGGAGAGAGCGCTTCAGGACCTCGCCCGAGAGGGCTCATGGCACCGTTCGCTCTTGGGAGATTTGGGGTCAAGAGTTTGTTACGTCACCGTTTGTTATTGGGAGCTTTGGTGTGAAGGATATTTGTGTTCACGTCAACGTTTGCTCTTGGGATCCTTAGCGATCAAGGCTCTTCACGTCAACGCTCGCTCTTGGGTGCCTTGGTGTGAAGACTTGGTTACGTCGCCGCTGGCTCTTGGGAGCATGGAAGCATTGACATTAAGAGCATTGTGCGCCGCTGCTCCTCTCTCTTGGGACCCTTGGAGTGTAAAGCTTTTACATGACCGACTTGTGCAAAGAGAGCTTTCCACTCACCTGATGCTCTTGGGAGCCTTGGCGTCAAAGCTGCGTCCGGCATTGGGCCGTCGGAGGGGGTCCTCTGGGAGAGCCTCTGGGGGCCATGAAGGGTGTCTCTGGGCCCTCTGCGGCCGTTCCGGGGCCCCCTATAGGGCCGTCTTGGGGGGGGTGGCCCGTTTGGGGGCCCTCTGGGGGGCCCTCTTGGCGGCCTCCTGCAGCACTCTGGGGGCTCTCCTGGGAGCCTCTTGGGGCCGTCTTGGGCCCTCCTTGCGCCCGTCCTCTTGGGGCTCTCGGTGGCCGTCCTGGGGCCGTCCTGGGGCCCCCGTGGGGCCGTCTTGGGGGCCTCCCTCGCGGCAGCCTCCACTCCTGGCCCGACTGGGGGCCGGCCCGGGGGCGCCCGCCCTCGGTGCCCGCCTTCGGCCGAGCGGGGGCCGAGCAAGCGAGAACCGAAACGGCAGCGCCACACGCCGTGAGGCCCGGCATGTTTGTGGAGCACGCTCTGGGCCGTCCTCGTGTGGCCATCTCGGAGGCCCGAGAGCCGTCTCTTGGCCGATCGGGGCCCGCAAGAGCGAGACCCCCCCCCTCTAGAGACGAGGTTTTATAATGCAAGGTTGCTCCAGATTTCGTAATAGACGGAGGGGGGTCTCATCTCGGGGGGGGGTCTTTTCCAATCTATCTTGGAGGGCCTGGGGGGGTCTGGGGACGATGTTTTGGAGGGTTCTCCCACGGGGGAGGTCTGAAATGGCTTGTCTTGGAGGGTCCAGACCCCCTCCCTTTTATTACGAAGTCTGGAGTATGTCATATTAGCTCACATGCGTGCAGAACCTATACACTTGCCTTCACATGTGACAGCACTGCCGACAGCGAGAGGGTGCGCGTGCCCCACACGTTTGGCGGCCTTCCTGGCAGCACGGTCAGCGATCCAGCGTGTGAGCTTCTGAGAGCGTGGACTTGGGCTCGCTCAAGCTTCGCTCTGCAGGGGGGGGGAGGCACGTTATGTCCGACGTAATTTCCGACGTTTTTCGGCACACGGGGATAATTCCGACGTCATTTCCGACGTTTTTCGGTACCCGGGGACAGGGGGGTATAGAAAACTTTACTTCCGGAGCCCCCCTGGATCGGCAGCACTGGCCGGAGGCCAGCCCAATATTAAAATCAATTGTTTTTGCATCCTCAAGCCGTGCGGGGCATCCTCTTGGGCTGGGGGCCTCTTGGGTTGGGGCCCTCTCGGGGCTATGTTCGGTGGGTCCTCTTGAAGGACTCCCATGGCCCTCTTGGGCTCTCTTGGGAGTCTCTTGGGCCCCTCTGGGCCCCTCTTGGGGCCCTCTTGGGGCCGTCTTGGGGCCTCGTGGGCCGTCTAGGGGCTCTCTTGGGCTGTCTTGGGGCCCAGTTGGGGGCCTCATAGGCCGTATTAAGGCAAGCTGTCAGGCGTTTTTGGCTGTCTGGGGCTGTCAGAAGCCCGCAGGAGCGAGAAACCTAAAAACATTCGTGGCCTCCTGAGGCGCTCTTGGGGTCCTCTGGAAGGCCTCTGGGGCAGTCTTGGCCCCCTTGGAACGTCTTGAGGCGACCTGAGGCCATCTCGGAACGCTCTTGGCTGGTCTTGGGCTCTCTTGGAGCGCTCTTGGGCCGTCTTGGACCTCTCTTGGACCTCTCTTGGGCCGGCTTCGGGGCCTTCTGGCCGCCTTTGGGGGCTTCTGGAACCGTCTTGGGCGGGCCGTTACGCCAGATCGGGCGTGCTCCCCCTCTTCCCTGGGGACTCCTGGGCCGAAAAAAAGTCACGAACATTCGGCCCGGAAGGCATGTTATATAGGGATCGCGCCGGCCGCCCCCCCCTCCTGGACACCCCCCCTTGGGGCTAGAACCCTGTTCAGAACATTTCTAGCATCCGCTCGTTCCGTCATGCTTGTCTGATGTTTGTAAGGTTCCTGGCCCCCCCCTCGTACCCGAACCCAGTGTCTGGAAATCGCCCCCCCCCCCCCCCCCCCCCCCCAGTTTTGCTTCTGGGTACCCTTTCGGCCTCAAGACAACTCCAAGACAGCCGCAGACTGGTGCCTTCCCTTTGTTTTTGGGTAGCTTCAAATCGCCGCGAAAAAGCGTCAGGGAGCTCCAGGAGGCCCCCAAGACGGCCACAAACCAGGTACCCCAAGAGAGCCCCCTCATGGGCGACATCAGAAACCCTAAACCCAAAAACATGTTCCTCTCTTGGGGGGGCGCATCTTTTTTACTCCCTCCGCACTCGGCAGCGCTTCCGCCGGCGGAGGCGGCCCCGCTTTACCTTCCGCCGCTCTTCCGCCGCCCTCCCCGCGGCGGAAGAGAGGACCGCTCCTCCTGGCCTCGAGGACAAGACCCTGCTTGGAACGCCCCCCACGGCCACGTGCTCCCAACCAGTCACAGGCCCAGGAGGAGGGACAAGGACGACAGTCCTCGTCCTCCTCTTTTTGGCTTGTGACCGGTTTGAAGGAGGAGGCGCAGGAGGAGGAGGAGGAGGAGGAGGAGGAGGAGGAGGAGGAGGCCAAAAGACTGTCAGAACACCCTCGAGAGGCATCAGCGGCCCCAAGACATGCACAGACGTCGCCGAGGTGCTTCCACCGAGCCTCCTCCGGAGAGCTCTCGGCGGAACCGCCGCGCCCAAGACTGCCCCGCGACCCCAAGGGCGGACGCCCAGTGGGCTCCCCCAAAGAAGCCCCCAAAGAGGGCCCCCAAAGCGGCCCTCCAAGAAGCCTCCAGCATGCCACCCGAAGGGGGGGGGCGACGAGGGCGGGAAAGGACGAGAAGAGGGGGGAGGGAATGGGGAAGGCAAGAGGAGGGGAGAAAAAAAGGAGGAGAACGAGAGGAGTGGGCGCTCAGCAGCCGCTCCAACGCAGGCAGAGCGCCCAACTGGATCGTGCCTTCCTGTCACCCCCGTTCCTGCTGCCCTGCTGCGCTGCTGCGCTGGCACGGTACAGCGGGGGTCAGGGCCCCGTAGACCCAGACACGCTAGACCCGGACACCCAACATCCCTCGAAATCAATTTCTCCAAACGGCGGCACAAACAAAATACTGCACTGCACAATTTCCAGAATAAACCCGGACACAGGCCCCAAAAGCCTGCAAGACACCCCCAAACCCGGACACAAACCCGAATCCTGCAGTGCAGCAAGCAAAATATGCACGGGCGCTGAAAAAAACGTGACTTTGCAGGAAAGAGTGTCGTTTCCTTGGTTTTCCGTGTCCTGGTTTATCTGTGTCCTGGTCTCCGGGGGCCTGAGGGGGTTCCTGCCGCAGGCGGCCGGATTGGCGTCATGGAGTCCTCCATGGTGGAGCACTCGCTTGGATGGAGGGCGGATCACTTGCAAAACAGGAGGAGCGAGGAGCGAGGAGGAGGAGGAGGAGGGAGAGGAGGAGGAGGAGGAGGAGCGAGGAGCGAGGAGCGAGGAGCGAGGAGGAGGAGGAGAATGGGAGAAGGAGGAGGAGGAGGAGGAGCGAGGAGGAGGAGCGAGGAGGAGGAGGAGGAGGAGGAGGAGCGAGGAGGAGAAGGAGCGAGGAGGAGGAGGAGCGAGGAGGAGGAGGAGGAGCGAGGAGGAGGAGGAGGAGGAGGAGGAGGAGGAGGAGGGGCCCCGGCTGGGCAGATCATTCAACTGTGTAGTCCCACCTCTTAGCGCTCCGCATCGCTGGAAGGATGCAGGGCCGCTTTCTCCACTGTGGAGCAATCGCGCAGATAGAGAGGGCGGCTTCTTCTCGAAACAGGGCCCTGCCTGGGCGAATCATTAAGCTGTAGGGTCCCACCTCTCAGCGCTCCGCATCACTAGAAGGAGGCAGGGCCGCTCCCTGTCCGAACGGGGCTCTCTCGCCGATGAACGGGGCGCACTCGTCTTTTTCGGGGAGGCGTGCCCCCTGCGGTGAAGAGGAGGAAGGCCTGCACGCGCAGTTGGAGGCCTCTGCGGAGCGAGAGCTTGGGAAACAGAGGTCGTGTCGCAGCTTTGCCGACGCCTCCTGAGCTTGCCCTGGTCCTCCCTCCACTTCCTTCCCCCCCTCCTTCTCGAGGCCCTCACTCCGCCGCCTCCTGCCCCTCCTGCCCCCCTCTTCGCCCTCCTGCGGCTGGCGCTGCATGAGCAGAGTGCAACATCCTTTTCCGAAAGTAACACGCGAGTCCCCGCGGCGCACGCAAGGCGGTCCCCCTTCGGGGGGCTCGTCGGTGCACGCTGTCCCCCTCCGAGGCACGACATCCCCAAGGCGGGGGATAGCGTGCAAGAAGCGGGCCGAAGGCGCCACGTCGCATCCTATCTTCGCGACGCCAGCAATAGCCATCGGTCGGAAGAAGTAGGAGGGCGTTGAAAGTAGATTGGGTTCCGTCCGCCCCCTTGGGAGGACGGCGAAGATGAAGCCACTCGATCATTGAAGCAGGAAACCGCCCAAGGTAGATTGGAACCTGGGAATCCCCAAATACCCATTTTCAACATCCGACGGGCAATCGATCTCGCAACTCTTCCGCTCCTGGGGCGGCCCTGGTCCACCGTCGCCCTGCGCGCCCGGTGCCGGCCCCTGGCGAGCAGCATGTCGCCCAGGCACTCCACCACGTCCCCGGCGTCCAGGTGCACCAACTCGGGCAGGCGCCAAGACTGCACACTGGCACTGATGTTAGGTTGGACATGTCCTCCTACAGGTTGATTTGGGACGAAAAATTACACATAGTTTAAAGATTCTCCAGGATGATCAAAAAATCTAAGCGCTTCGCGTATCCCCACCAGCGCCACTGCGGCCAATTTACATCGTACCGCGCCCCGGACGTTGTGCCCGATCCCAGTCCCTCGCCTTGGAGCCGCGAACCAAAAAAAGTATCCCCACCAGCCCATCCAGAAACGATGTCCAGGCGAGTTGAGAGGTGATCAAGGAAGCGCGGGAGCAAAGAGGGGGACGGCCGAACCGTGTGAAGGAGAGAGGGGGCGAAGGAGAAAATTGGATGGATGGATGAGGGAGTAGGGAGAAGGAGGATGAATAGGATGAGGAGGATGAGGAGGCGGAGGGGGAGGAGGAGGATGAGAAGGGATAGGAGGAAGGAGGAGGAGGAGAGCAAGCAAAAGGGCCAGAGGTCTCTTGGATGCTTCTCGGAGCCTCATGGGGTATTTCTTGGGCGGACGTCTTGGGGGTCTCTTGGCGGTCGTAGGGGGCTCTTCGGCGTCTTGGGTGCCTCGGGGGGGCCTCTTGGGGCCGCTTGGGATCCTTTGGGGGGCCTCATGGGGGCCTCTTGGGGCCATCTTGGGGCCATCTTGGCGCAATCTTGGGACCTCTTGGGGCCTCCTGGACGCTTCTTGGGGCCATCTTGGAGGAGATCGGTCAACGAAGGGGGGGTCCTCAATTACGCCCCCCCCCCCCCACAGGAGGCCAAAATGGGGCCAACACCTTAATAGAACCAGTGATTTTTGCTTCCTCGCCGAGGCCGTCTTGGACGCTATAACTACCCGCGGCCCCCCCCGTCCAGGTCCATGGGGAGGGGGTAGACGGAGGGGTAAACCCCTCCCCGAAAGGGAAGAAGGAGGGGTGGACGAGGAAACGCTCTAAACCACCTACGCCCAGAGGGCTGGTGGGATTATCCTGGCGGAGGACACAACCATATGATGAAGTTGTGGGCACCGCAATTGTGAATATCTCCTTCGGTGAAGCTCCCTATGGGGCCACGAAGCGCTGCGCTGGGCGGGGGGGGGAACGCATGAGGGCGGTGGCACTGGCGCCGTCGGTGAAGCTCCCTATGAGGCCACGAAGCGCTCCACTGGCTGTGTGAAAATACCAAATTGGGCGTGTGGGACGCACGCGGGAGGTCCCATTGGGGACTCCGGTGGAGCTCCCCATGGGGCCGCGAAGCGTTGTAGGGAGGGTGAAAATACACCGGGGGCTTCGGTGGGGTTCCCTATGGGGCCACGAAGCGCTGTACTGGGTCGGTGAGCGTGACAAAGTGGGTGTGGGTGACGCACGCGGGCGGTCCCACTGGGGGCTTCGGTGGAGCTCCCTATGGGGCCACGGAGCGCTGTACTCGGTGGGTGAAAATGCCAAACCGGGTGTGGGGAAGCACGCGGACGGTCCCACTGGGGGCTTCGGTGGGGCTCCCTATGGGGCCACGAAGTGCTGTACTGGGTGGATGCAAGGTTGGGTGTGGGAGGCGCGCGCGGGCGGTCCCACTGGGGGCTTCGGTGGAGCTCCCTATTGGGCCACGAAGCGCTGTACTGGGTGATGAAAGTGCCAAATTAAATGTGGGGGACGCATGTGGGCGGTACCACTGGGGGCTTCGGTGGGGCTCATTATGGGGTCACAAAGCGCTGTACTGGGTGGGTGAACATGCCAAATTGGGCGTGGGGGGCGCATGCGGGCGGTCCCACTGGGGCGGAAGGATGGTGAGAACTGCAACCTTGTCGAAAGGATCGCGGAAACCCCAAGTGAGAGCGCGATTCGTCAAAACATTGTGAGGAAGTATCAAGCGGGAGCCGCGATCCGGTGGTAAATTGCAAGGAAGTCCCAAGAGAGAGCGCGATTCTTCAATACGTTGTGAGGAACGATCAGGCGTGAGCCGTTGTTGTTGTAACCCGGGGGCCAACGACACAGTCTGACCCTCAAGACTTTCCCTGATAAAAAAAAAACAGGGCGCGAGCCCTGGGAGGGGCACTCCAATCGAACAAAAACAGTGTGCACCGGACGGGGGGGATGACCAATAACTGATCTTCAAAAGTGAGAGTTCAACAACAACAACAACAACAACAACAACAACAACAATCACTTTACCCGAACGCTCAGTGTTCTCACCAGTGCCAGGGTTTTCATGCGACGCCAGCCAATACCCCCACTTTGTGGGGGGGCAGTGCAAGCTCTACCAAATATCCACACGACTCTTCGCCACCACCCACACCCAGCTTCCCGCCCTATGACGTTCGGACACTTCACTTCGTGGCCTGCGGACGACCGTGGCTACTACACTGGCGTGGAGTACACACCCACAGAAGTTGTTAAGCCTACGTTCGTACACCCACAGAAGTTGTTAAGCCTTGTTAACCCACAGAAGTTGTTAAGCCTTCCACAGAACATCTGTTGCATATGATGCATATGGTACATGATACACATGATACACATGATACGTACTCACAAGATAGTTGATCACATCTTTAGGGCAAATTCCTGAGGGATGTGGGAATACACAAGAGAGAGAGGATATGGTTGTCCCGATGGTTGTCTCGATGGTTGTCCCGATGGTTGTCCTGATGGTTGTGGTTGTCCCGATCGTTGTCCCGATGATTGTCCCGATGGTTGTCCTGATGGTTGTGCTTGTCCCGATCGTTGTCCCGATGACTGTCCCGATGATTGTCCCGATGGTTGTCCCGATGGTTGTTCCGATGGTTGTCCCGATGGTTGTCCCGATGGTTGTGAGCGATGCCGGATCCTCACGCCCCCCGCCGGAGGAGGAGGAGGAGGAGGAGCAGGACAAGGAGGAAAGGAGAGAAGAGAGAGGAGGGGCGGGAACGGCGCTTGCACGCCCACCCACCGTCTTTTCCCCGCCGCGGCTCTAAAGAGACGAGTTCGTGTGCTCGTCATCTTCTGGCATACGCCCGTCCCTGATGGCACGGATGGGGCGCAATGCTGCCAGCTGGGCTCCTGGCAGAAATACATCAGGGGCCAAGTGTCCAAGCATGGTGCCGATACGCCTCCTCACGGATACATCGCCCGTGCGTGCGAGGGGCGCCAATGCCGCCAGGACGCCCTGGACATGCGCCGGCATGCGCAGATCCACCTGGTAATCCATGACATTGCCATACTGGGACTGCCCGCAAGAACGCCATACTGGCATGTGCCACCAATGGTCCTGCTTCGGGAAATAGGTGATACCATCGTTGACGTCGTGGGAGGCATTCCACAGAGCCATAGATTGCGGCTCAATACCCATGGGTCCCGTGTGTGTTGCCACAAATACGTCCAGGCTCGCCATGCGCCTGTACGACAGACCTGATACCACCTCGGAGTGCACGTGAATACCCAGGAGATGCAACAGCCTGCGCAAGCCCGCATACACCCAGCCGCCGGGCCCGACGAAGACGTGCGCTCTCCAGTTCGGTATACCAGCTTGGGTGCACAGCCGCTGGAATACGTCCGAAAGTGTGCCAAGATACGTCGCGGGTAGATCTACGAAACCAGAAAAGGTTGCCGAATACCAAGCCAGGATTCGGACAGCGCGCGCGGGTAGAAATTTTGAAAAGTCGTGCAGGTGTTTTTCGAGGACCTACGGTGCGATTCGTGTGATTTTATGATGCGCGGTGCTAGAATTCTTAAGAAGCCCAATGGTTTTTGGAGATTTCGGCGTGCGCGCGCGAAGAAAAAACGAATGTGTCCCGCATGGTATTATTTGACAGGGATGATGGCCCTGGCAGGTGCGCAACCGTTGTCGCAGAAGTTCGAAAAAGTTGCTCGCAAAAGCCCGTTTGACAGAAATGTTTAAAAAGTGTTGGGTTTCCTACGAATCCGCAAGAGCGCGCGGGATGAGATTTTGACATTTTTTGTTGAAAAACCATTGGGTTTTTTGATGTTTTTATGTTAAAATCGCTGCGAACACTAAGGTTTTGGAAGGATTTCGTCTTGCGCGCGCGAATGTCCACTTTACCTTATTTTTTGCAAGGGATTCTTGAAATTTGATTATATTAGAACAAGAAATGTCATTTTCTATTGTTTTTTGCAAGGGAAAGCGGATTACAACAAAACAACCGGATCCTGTACACACCCTCTTTTCTGAGGCTTCCTCACGAAAATGATGAAAATGTAGCTGCGGCCTAGGCGGCGCAGGGGGGGCGCGCACCAGGGGGCCCAACAATAATTATTCTTTAGAATAAATAATGTTCAACAACAACAACAACAACAACAACAACAACAACAACAACAACAGCAACAGCAACAGCAACAGCAACAACAACAACAACAACAACATCATCATCAACAACAACAACAACAAACAAACAAAAACTCTTGAGGCAGGAGAAGGAGACGAGGCCGAGGACGAGCAGCGGCAGCGGGAAGGCGGGAGGCACGAAACGACGGACGGATGGAGACAGAGAGACAGGACGGGACGTCTGGGGGGCCCGCGCCCACCTCCCCGCGCAGCAGCCGGACGTGGTAGGCGCCCTCCTCGACGGAGAGCACGAAGCCCACCTCTCGAGGAGAAGGAGCCGACGGCGCAGGACCAGAGAGAGGTGGACAAACCTCCCTTTAGTAAACCTCCCCTTAGTGAAAACGGCCTCGGACCGAAACCGACGGACCTGGACCCGCAAAAATGACGGCCGCGACGCCCTCTCGCGAACCGAAAACGACCAATTCGCTAATCGACGCGTCTGGGTAGGAGGTCTGTCCACCCCCGACAGAGAGAGGGAGGGCGGCGCCGGACCAGAGAGAGGGAGGCGGCCCTGGGTGCGCATGCCTCCTCGACTGGGGGGGGGGGGGGGGGCCCTGCCAAGCCTGGGTGGCCCCGCCGATCGCACCGCACCCCCAGGGCTCCCTGGCGCTACCCGCGGCCACTCGCCCGCATCCGGGGCCATGGGGGCGCCGAGTGATGCAGCAGGCGCAGGGGCAGAAGATGTCCCCCCAATAGGAGGCGGCCAAGGGGTCTGAACCGGATGGGCCCAGAGAAAGCTGCCAAGAAGGGGGAAGAAGGAAAGATTCAACTAAGTCGGGCGCCTTCGACGAAAAAAAGAAATGCGCGAAAAACGCTCCAAAATGGCAGCAACAACAAAATAATGAAAAATCGGTCCCCAGACTATTATTGTTGGACTATCTTTGAACATCCCCCCTGTCGAGGGACAGGCCCGACTCAAGGCCAACTCCGTCCAGCATCGGCCACCAGACCCCTCCCGGGATCCGGATCCGTTCTGGAGGGTCCCGCGGGTGCCCGAGGACGGGCCCGGCGGAGACGGGAAAAGAGGCAGCACGCCCGCTCGAAGCTCGAGCCTCGCCCGCCTTCTCCTGCTCGCCGGAAGCGGTGCCGGGCCACCCATGGGTTGAAGAGGGGCCCTGGGACACACACAGAACAAATGAGCACCAAGAACCGGCTCTTCCAAATAATTACTTCTTCCCACCTGTGCCGGGTTTTCTGTGTTCCCCCCCCCACTTCCCATATTTTCCCCTATTTTCTGGGGAATCGACGCTTCCTTGTGTATGTGTTTTTGTTCCCTCCCGGCAGGAGCCCCAGCCGACTCCCAAACCCCCCCCCCCCTGCAGGTTGCGCCGCCGTCGCCTCCCCCTCGTGCCCGCCGGCGGCGACGCGGACGCAGGCCTCGCGTGGGCGGGGGGAGCACCCCGAGATCCGACGTCTCGCAAGCAAGAGGGCGGCGCCGTGACAGATCGCGCCCGGGGAACCCTCGAGTCGGAACGCTGACCTAAGGAGCCCAAAGTACTACCAGCCTGGAACATATCCCTATCCCTATGCTGGGCACCTCCTCATCGCGATGTCAATCTTAGGGGGTCCCTTATGTTTGGAGGGCGAATCCATAAGATTGCCATCGCCTTTTGGCGTGTCAATCTTAGGGATAGGGATACGTTCGAGGCTGGTAAAAATAAGGATCGCGGCCCCCTGTTCCCACAAGAGAAGTTTCGATCCCCCATGGAGAACGGAAGGAAAGCCCGAGGCAGACCGTACAAGTATCGAGGAACACCGAGCCTTTTCCCCAACGGAAAGGGTTTCTTCTTCAGCGCCCCGACTGTAGACCCGATCTTTCTGCGCCATGTTCCGCAGCGGATCGACCTGTGAGGGTCCATGGGGCCCGAGAAGAAGCAACAAGAACGCCCCGCTCGAACAAAAAGGAGACGCCAGGAGCTCAGGGCACGTGCACACCTCCACGGCCACGCGGCCCGGACTCCTCGGCCCCGCGCTGTACCCCGCAGAGACGCGCCGCAGCGCGGGGCGCGGAGGGGCCCCGCGCGAGGGAGGCGCGGCCGCGGGATCGCGCCGCTTGGACTAGGGCGGGCATGTCCTCCGACTGGTGGATGTTAAACGAGAAGTTCAACAACAAAGGCAACAAATACTCCAAAATAGAGAAGAGCAGTAAAAACACCGTTCCCACAGAATTGCTGGACTTGTTTTGAAAGTTCCTCCTCTAGAGTCGGGGGCGGCCAAGAGGGGGGTGTCCAAGAGGGGGGGGTGCAAATCATGGCCGGCGGCACGTGCGCGGCCCAGGGGGGGGGGGGGCAGGGAGGTAACGAAATAAGGGGTGGCGCCATAAACATCGGAGGAAACATCATGGCCCACGCCACAAACTCCCCCCCCCCGAGTCCCAGACCCCCGAC